GGAAGTATCTGGGATCGAAGTGTGTTCTCGCTTTCTCGGGGCGAAGATGTCGGGCGGACCTTCTGTGTCCTGGGCCCGGGGGTTCTTCGAGCCAAATTCTGGTCCTCCCTGGTTGCCCCGCCCGAGTGCGACGTGCTGGGCCCTGATCCCGTTCTCGATATTGGGACTTCATTGGGCCCTGTGTATGAATGTGATCTGCTGGTAGAGTCAGGATGTAAGTGCGACGCGCGCTTTGCGACCTATAATAGCCTCCGCACCCTCCAGGTTAAATCCCATGGAGTTCGAAATGCCGCTCGGATCGCGATCGCGATGAACCGCTGCTCCGCGTGTAGTTCGACGTTCAAATCCGAGGCGTGGCAAAGCAACATCTTCATTTTTTTTTTTTTTTTTTTTTTTTTTTTTTTTTTTTTTTTATTTTTTTTAAAATATATTTTTCTCATCGCCGAGTTTATGCGGTTCGATCACCCGTGGAAATACCAGCCCGAGAAACCGCTGAGCTAATGTGTCCCTTCTGCCACGTGGGCCCCTTGCCGTGCGTGGCTCAAATTCAGAGGCGCATCTGTCAACGCCTTCCTTTGTTGATCTACGTAGACCTGCACTATGGGTCGGCTGGCAGACGTGGCGCCCCTGGCGGTGGCGGGCCAGCCCGAGCCGGAAGAGCGACGGCGATGCGGCCCGCGAGTTCCAGAACAGCAGGTGCCCAAAGTGGTCAAAGCCACCACTCAGGATCTTATAGTGAAGCGCGCGCCGGGGCCGGCGATGAGGCCGGTCGCAAAAATGCGCGAGGCATGGGAAATATCAAGCCGACGGTGGTGGGCACATTCAGGTGCAAGCAGACGGCGCTTCTCATTTTGGTCTTGGAAGAGGGGCGCAGAAAGTGCGTGGGCGTCGCGCAAGCCCAAGAGTTCACCGTTTCACCTGCACCATGCAAGGCGTGTGTGATGGCACGGACACTCAAGGAGGCCGACGTGGGCGAGGAGCTCGACCAGAAGATGCGGCGCCTGGGGGTCGAGGGGCTGGAGATGGAATTCTCGGTGATTGCGATCGAGAAGAAGGCCTTAGACAGCGACATGTGCAAGCTGAACATCGTTCGCTGATCATCAGTGCCCTGAAACAGCTGGAGTTCCCCCACTCGTGCGCGGCCGCGCCGCAGGGAAAGGGGCGCCAGCTGTCGACGTGGGTCCAGGAACTGGACAGCTAGGATCGTCGCCATCGTTGCTGTCGGGGCGGTCCACCAAGCGGAGACTGTAACGAGGTGGGGCTGAGCGTCTCGCCATTGTGCAGCCATGAGAAGATGATGGGGTTCACGCTGCTGAGAAGCTTGGACAGAGTTGTATGCGCGAAATTCCTGATGCAGTCTCTGGCGGAGATGGTACTCAAAGTGTGATGGCTGAAGCTGACAAGGCGTGTACTCAACATGTGATTACTGATGCTGGCCAGCCTGATCGTAAACAGCACTTGATTGCTGATGCTGATAGTGATGGTATTCAGCCGGTACGCACTGATGATGGGAGACCTGAGAGTACTCAACACGTGTTTACTGATATTGACGTGGATGTTCAACAGATCATGAGTATTGCTGCTGGCGGTAGTGTGATTACTGATGCTGGCGCAGATTGTATCTCTGGTTTGGTGTCTGAGACTTGTCAGCTACCTGATGGCCGCCCTGCAGGCCCTGAGAGAAATAACGAAATCATGCGGATTTTGATGCTGATGCTGATGCTGATGCTGTTTTTTGACGATGATGATTCCGATGGTGATTTTGATGGTGGTGATCATGACGACGACGATGAGGATTATTGTAAGGATCATGACGACTATGATGACCGTCGCGACAGCCGCCAGGGCTTCAGCAGGAGAGCCTGCGCCGGCTGCGTTCTCCGGTTTGCAGAATCGGCTACACGTGAGAGTGACCTTTCGCCGGAGTGACTCTTGGTGTGGGCACATCAGGGATCCGAGATGGTTGAATGCGAAGCGATTTGATGGCGAGCGATGGGGTGAAGTGAGAAGGAAGATGGTCTTCTCAAAAGGTGGCGTCACTTCTCAGGAGCCCTCGCGCCTTCTCAGAGGTTTCCTGTGCCTCGGAAGACTTTTCAGAAGGCTGGCGGACTTTCGAGCCTTCTGAGAAGGCCCGCCCCTTTTCACTTCCCCTTCTCGCTCGCCGCCGAGCGAAAGCGGCGGCTTGCGCGCTCGGGTTTGGCCTACCCGTGGCCCCCGAAAGTCGCGCACCAAAGGGCACTTTTGCCAAGGGTCGCTCTTGCGCGTAGCCGACGGAAGGGGTGGGGAGACTTTCCTCGGCGTCCACCCTAGCGACCTGGGGGCTCACTTGCGGCGCCCTTTGCTGTGTCCCCAGCCTCAGGCCCTGCTTCTGCTCCTGTAGAGGACTGTCGAAGGGGAGCATTATTCCAGTGCGACCCTAGCAGCATGAGTAGTAACAGTAAAGCTAAGCTAAAGCTAAGCTGAAACTGAGCTGGAGCTAAGCTAAATCTAAGCTAAAGCTAAGCTAAAGCTAAGCTACAACTAAGCTAAAGCTAAAGCTAAGCTAAAGCTAAGCTAAAGCTAAGCTGAAGCTAAAACTGAGCTAAAGCTAAGCTAACGCTAAGCTAAAGTTAAGCTAGCGCTAAATTAAAGCTAAGCTAAAGCTAAGCTACAGCTAAGCTCACACTAAGTTAAATCTAATATACATCAAAACGAAAGCTAAACTAAAGCTAAGCTACAGCTACTTAAAGTTAAACTGAAGCTAAGCTCGCGCTGAGCTAAAGCTAAGCTACAGCTAAACTAACGCTAAGCTAAAGTTAAGCTACATCTAAGCTACATCTAAGCTAAATCTAAGCTACAGCTAAGCTAAAACTAAGCTAACGCTAAGCTAAAGCTAAGCTAAAGCTAAGCTATTGCTAAGCTGAAGCTAAGCCAAAGCTAAGCTAAAGCTAAGGTAAAGCTAAGCTAAAGCTAAGCTAACGCCACGCACAAACTAAGCAACAGCTAAACTAAAGCTAAGGTAAAGCTAAACTAACACTAAGCTTAAACTAAGCTTAAACTAAGCTAACGCTAAGCTATATGTAAGCTAAATCTAAGCTAAATCTAAGCTAAAGCTAAGCTAACGCTAAGCTAACGCTAAGCTAAAACTAAGCTAAAGCTAAAGCTAAGCTAAAGCTAAGCTAAAGCTACGCTAAAGCGAAAGCGAAAGCTAAAGCTAAAACTAAAGCTAAAGCTAAAGCTCCCAGGGGACTGGGGGAACCGCGGGGCGGATGCCGGGGGAACCGCCCGGGGCGTGCCCCACTGCCCGGCCCTTTAAGCATACCGAGTAAGAACCCTTCTAGGCAGAGCCTAGGTAGGGAATTGAAACATACATATGGAACCCGTACCCCCCAACTAGAAATTTGGGTGGTCTTGTAGGTAGGGGGTCTGGTAGGTAGTCTGGTAGGGGTGTGGTAGGTAGTCAGACTGCGATATCGACGTCGGCCCTCCGTTTGGCGAGCCTGCTGGCAGCTCCAACGCACTGCAGTACCCATCCTGGCAGCCTCGCCCGGCGCGCACCCCCTTCACCCGCACGTCGCGCAAGGCACGAGCACGTGGCGGCTTCACAGGAGCTCTCATACCCCCAGTCTCCAATTGTCACCACCCACCAAACCACCCCAACCCAACCCGAAGGCTTCATTTTGCCCCCCATTTCCAGTGGGGGGTGGTCGGGGAACCTTGAAAAAGCAGATGGGACCCTTACCCCCCCCGACCCGAAAGTCGGGTCTTCGGGCTGGGCTGGGGTGGTCTGGTAGGTCGTCGCGCTGTTCCAGTCCCGAGGCTCGTGCGCGTACCCGTTCCGTCGTGGCCTCGTCCACCGCTTCCCGTGCCGCTGCTCCTCTATACCTCGTGCGCCTCGTGCCTCCCCTCCTCTCGGCGGCGCGCCCAGGGCGGGAAGGCACAGGAGGCGTGCCCTCTCAGGAGGCTCAGAGGGCTTCCCGAGCTTTCTCTGAAGCTAGGGGGGTTCCGAGAAGGGGCCGGGGGACTTCTGAGAGGGCCCACCGCCTTTGAGAGGGACTGCCCCCTCTCACTTCCCCCCCCTCTCCCGTCCCTCTCCCCTCGTCCCTCGTCCCCTCGTCCCCCGTCCCCTGATCCTCGTCCCTCGTCCCCTCGTCTCGCCTGCGCCGTCCCTCTTCCCAGATCCCTCCTTCCTCGTTCCTCCCTGATCCCTCGCCCCCCCTCCCAATTATTCAGCAGTTGTAGACATTGCGTACTGCTCTCCTCGCTCCCCCGCCTCCGTCCGGAAGATAGCCAGTTCTCTCTGCGTATTGTGTTCACAAAATATTGGATAGAGGTGGTGTTTCCTAAATTTTTGGTTGAACAGCAATTCTGCAATTTTTTCGATGTTTCAAAATGTTGCATCGTGGGCCTCATTTTTGGATCGGAGCTTTGCTCCCGTCGTTCAGAATGCCGCCTTCGCCCCTGCGTGGGCTACTTTTCTGGATCCGAGTTCTTTTCCATCGTTGTCGCCCCCCTCATGTCCCCTCCGCCGCCTTTCCCTGGCCCTGCTCCTCCTGCTCCTTCCGCTTCAGTTCCTGCTGCTGATGGTCGTCCTCGTCCTCCTCCTTCCACATCCTCATCCTTTTTCCTCCGGCTCATCCTCCTGCTCACCCGCCACCTCCTCCTCCTCTTCCTCGTCCTATGTACGTAGCTTGCTTTTCCGATTGCGCACAGCACGATACACATGGGTCTTTTTGTTGGAATTCCAAGTTGGCTTTGACACGCGTCCGCGGATAGAGTAACACTCAGCACAATAAGAAGGGAAGGGACGGGATGGGAGGGAGGGATAGGATGTCGGATGTGCGCGAGCGCACTTAGCTCATCCCTCGCCCCTCGCCCCCCCCCCTCCCCGGTCTGCCGTGGAGGAACTACAGCACGTTTCCCCGCGCCTGTCCAGCTCCATCATCTGCATCATCCTGGTGGCCTCCGTGGTGTCCACCGCCGTGGTGCGCGGGTGCTACGGCAACTCGCAGCTCTTCCAGGCGCCCCTCGGCGGTCCCTCGGCGGCTTCCAGGGAGGCCTCCAGGGACCTGAGGGGGCCTCCGTTCTGGGGATCACCAGGGGCCTCCAGGGATCGTCGCCGTCGTCGTCGTCGTCGTCGTCGTCGTTGTCGACGTCGTCGTCGCCGCCGTCGTCGTCGTTGTCGTCGGCGGTGGCGGCGGCGGCCGGCGGCAGCGGCTTCTGCGTTGTCTTTCTCGTCGTCCTCGTCGTCGTCGTCGTCGTCGTCGTCGGCGTCCCATGCGAGCCTTGGGGTTGTCTTGGCGGGCGCCGCCCTGCGCCCCGCCGCGGGGTCTCGGCCCCGCCGCCAGGCGTCGTGGGGGCAGGCCAGCGTCGACCAGGTCCTCGGGCTCCGCAGCTGCCGCCGCCGCCGGGCTGCCGCCGACGCGGGGGCGGCGACGGCCCGTGCGGCGACCGCTGTGCGGAGGCGGCGGCGACTGCGACGACGGCGACGGCAGCGACTGCAGCGGAGGCGACGGCGGCGACTGCGACGGCGGCGGCGATTGGCGGAGGCGGCTGCGACGGTGGCGGCCTGTGCGGCGACTGCCGCGTGGAAGCGGTGGCGGCGACGGCGACGGCGACGGCGGCGACTGCGGCGGAGGCGACGGCGGCGACTGCGACGGTGATGGCAACTGCGGCGGAGGTGGCGGCGGCGGCGGCGACGGCGGCGGCGGCGACGGCGGCGGCGCCGCCGCCACGCCGCGGCCGCCAGCGTCGCCGCGTGTGGCGGCAGCGACGGCGACGGCGGGGGCGGCGACGGCGGGGGCGGCGGTGACGACGGCGACGGTGCCAGTGTCGACGGTGCCAGCAGCGACGGTCCCAGCCCCCCTTGTGTTGTGACATAAACAACCGAAGGTTTTGAGTCATTTTCGGACTAGGGGGGGCCCTCGCCAGACCACACGACAATGAAAACAAAACTACTCAGGATGAAACGCTGATCCCAGCGAAGGGGTCCAGACCTCTGGGGAGCCACGCTGTGCTGTGACAACGCTTACGATGTCGGGGGCCTGGGGTGGGGGCAGCGGCGCCGACGACGGCAGGAGCGGCGGCGCCGCTTGCCCGCTCGGCCAGGTCTTCGGGGTCCGCGGCTGGATGCTGGTGGCGGTGCCCATCGGGGTCTGCTGCTCCCTCGTCGGGCAGGTGCTGAACGCGTCCGTGCGCCGACTGCACGCGGCGCTCGGCGAGTGGCGCGAGCGCGGCCAGCTGTCCTACGCCGCCGCCTTCGCGCTGCACGGGCTCCCCTCCGACGCCCGCGGCCGCTGCGGCCGCCCCTGGCCGGCCAGGGGTCCGGACGGGGGGCGACGGCTGTCCGCTTGTCAGGGGCAAGTCGGGGGGGGACGGGCTCGAGACGAGACGATGAAGTCCAGATGTCTTTTTTTTTGCAGGCAAGGGTGCAGTATATCGAGGAAGCCCACTCGAGTGTGCGAGCCGCGGCCCCTGAGCGCCGGCCTGAACCTCCTCGTCGTGGGGGATGAGCTCGAGTCGAGGGTCGAGGGTCGAGGTTCGAAGGCCGAGGGTCGAGAGGGCGGGCAGCAGCAGCAGCAGCAGCAGCAGCAGCAGCAGCAGCAGCAGCAGCAGCAGCAGCAGCAGCAGCAGCAGCAGCAGCAGCAGCAGGAGCAGCAGCAGCAGCAGCAGCAGCAGCAGCAGCAGCAGCAGCAGCAGCAGCAGCAGCAGCAGCAGCAGCAGCAGCACGCCGCCAGCGCGCTGCGCGGCGGCGGCGCGGGGTGGCTGCCGCGCGGCGGCAGGTCGAGGTGCCTGGCCGCTCCTGGCCTTCGCGGGCCTTCGCGGGCCTCCGGGGGCGCCAGGGGAGCTAGGCTAAGGGGGGGTGATGCTCGGCGGCGAGCCTGGAGGGGCAGCGAGGAGGGGGGCGGGCCTTCTCGGAAGGCTCGGAAGCCCCCCCGCCCGCGGAGAAGCCTTCGAGGCCTTCCCCGAAGACGCATAGCATGCCTCGGAAGGCGCCGAGGGCTTCCGATAGATCCCAGCGCCTTCTGAGAAGGCCTCCTCCTCCTCGTCCTCCTCCTCGTTCTCCTCCTCGTTCTCCCCCTCGCTCGCCTCCTCGTTCTCCTCGTCCTCCTCCTCGTTCTCCTCCTCCTCGTCCTCCTCCTCGTCCTCCTCCTCGTCCTCCTCCTCGTTCTCCTCCTCGTTCCCCCCCTCGCTCGCCGCCGAGCTGCAGCGACCCCCACCCGCCCATGCCTCGTGCGTGGATGGGGCCCGGCGGCCCACCCCGGCCGGGGGCGCCGGGGCTCGTTCCGGCGGAGGCCTGCCGCCGATCTGTCGGCGGCGCATCGCCGATGCTCCGTCGCGCGCAGGGGAGGGCCGGACGACAGGGGGGGAATTGGAGGAGGAGCAAGAGGAGGAGGAGGAGCAGGAGGAAGGAGGAGGAGGAGGAAGAGCAGGAGGCCCTCTTGGGCCGTCTTCGAGGCCTCTCGGGGCAGTCTGGGTCCGCTTCGGAGCGTTTTTATGGGCCCTGGGGCCCCCCTGGGGACTGCACTCTGACCTGGGACCCTCCCCCTGGGGGCGTGGCCCCCTTTTCGGGCCGGGCGAGAGGGGGGGATTGGGGAAAGGGGGGGGGGTCGAAATCTGCTGCGTGCAGCTGGCTTCGGCCCCACCGAGGGGCCCGTTCCTCGATGCATGGGCGCCGCCAGCGCCGGGAGGCGCCAGGGAAATCAGCTGCGCGAGGTGATTCTCACCCCCCCCCCCGTTTGCTATCCCCCCCTTTCGCCTGGCCCGAGCAGAGGAGGGTGGGAGGAGGGGCGAGGGCTTCTTAGAAGCACCCCTGCTCCTTGGAAGGCGCGGGCCTTAGCTTTAGATGTGAGGCCGGCGCCTGCTAAGGAGCAGCCTTCTTCCAAGGAGCCCTCCCCCCTCCCTCCACCCCCGTGTGCGCATTGCCAAGGATCGCCGGTTCTTGCTCGATCTTTCCCCCCTGACGTTCCACCTCGGCTTGCGTGCGCCGATCCAGGCACAGCTTCCGGCCCTGTGCCGCTGGACCGGCGCCACGCGTCTTCCTGGCGAGGCCGCCACCTGCGAGCATGTTTCCCCTGGCGGAACTCGCTCTGGACCAGGGGGCGAGGAGGAGGGGAAGGGGGAGGGCGGAGGAGAAGGGCGGCGCAGTTGGGTGGGGAGGATCCCCGTGTAATTCTCCAGAGCTCGCCAGACCTCTCCTTCTCTCTCCCTCTCTCTTTCTCTTTTTCTTTGCACTGCTGTGCAAGCATGTTGCCCCCCACGACAGCGCCTCCTTCTCCCTGTCTTCCCTCTCCACCCCCCCTCCTCCTTTCCCCCCCCCTCCCCCTCCCCCTCCTTCTCCTCTTCTTTTTCCCAACCATCCTGTGGTGTTGGGTCCTCGTTTTGAAGGGACAGCGCCCCGCTTTCCTCCTTCCTTCCTCCGTCCTTCCCCTCCTCCCTCCTCCTATCCCTGCCTCTGCTCTCCGCATGTCCACCATTTCGGCACACCCCTCACACGCTTCGTGACCCGCATAGGGAGCTCCACCGAAGGCCCCAGTGCCACCGCCCGCACGCGGCACCCCCACCCATTTCGGCACACCTCTCACACGTTTCGTGGCCCCATAGGGAGCTCCACCGCAAGTCCGAGTGGCGCAGCCCGCAAGCGTCACCCCCACCCATTTCGGCACACCTCTCACACGTTTCGTGGCCGCGTAGGGAGCTCCACCGACGATCCCCTGCATTCCCGCCACCCATGACGGTACACCCCTCACACGTTTTGTGGCCCCATGAGAGCCTCGCCGAAGGCCCCAGTGGCGCAGCCCGCATGCGTCACCCCCACCCATTTCGGCACACCTCTCACATGTTTCGTGGCCCCACTGGGAGCTCCACCGAAGGCCCGAATGGCACCGTCCACGTGCGTCCCCCCACCCACTTCGGCACACCCCTCAAACGTTCCGTGGCCCCACAGGGAGCTCCACAGAAGGCCCCACCGTCCACATGTGCCCCCCCCACCCCTGGCACACCCCTCGTACGTTTCATGGCCACATAGGGAGCTCCACCGAAGATGATACCCACACCTGCGGTACTCACAACTGCATATGATTGGGTCCTTCGCCAGGCTAATTTTTGTTTCCTCCTCTTCCCCCTCCTCCTCCTCCTCCTCCTCTTCCTCCTCCTCTCAAGCCCGCCTTGGCTCAAGCTTGCGTTTTTCCTAGTGTCTTGTCCAAGCTTTCTTTGCGCTGTTGCCATCAGTGTGCAGGCTTGAGTGTCTCTTCGAAGTGAAAACATAGAAGCATCAAGTTTACAATCTCTCAGCCGGCTGGTGATGGACGGCCGCGCCAACGTGGTGGGGGACTGCGAGGCCCGCGACTCAGCATAGGCCGTCGCCATGAAGCAAGCGGGACCCGACGGAAACGGGTCCTGAGGTTTTTCGTCGTTTTCGGCTTCACCAGGCCGAGCGACGTGTTGACAAGCTCACAGCAGCCGTTTAGGGTTCATTTCGATCCGATCGATCCGATTCGATATCGGTTCCGGCTGGCTCGATCCGATCCGATTACGATGTTCCGGCGATGCGATGTGTGTCCCGATGGTCGCCTGGTGTTTTTGTGCATCTTCTTGCAGCCGATCCGATTCGATGTGGATTCCGAAGAATGCCGACGCTCCTGGCAGTTCAGAAGGATCAGCTTGCCTGTCTTCCGTCTTGGCATCAAGCGTCAGCGTGTGAAGTATAACCTTAAGTCGGCCTGTCCCTCTACAGGAGGAATATTCAAAAATAGTAAAAAATAGTCGGGGGGACGATTTCGCGATTATTTTTGGGTTATGTTTGAGCTTTTCTTGGGGGTATTTTCAATTTTTCCTCCAAAATCCGCCTGTAGGGGGACATGCCCGGCCTAAGTATAACCCGCACTGGCAGCAGGACCATGGAGGCGGAGCAGGAGGCTTGACCGCCGCCAGGCGGCGTCGCAGCCGCCGCCGCCGCACCGTGTGCAGGAGGTGCCCCAGCTGCAGTGTCGGCCGCTTCCACCGAGGCAGGTAAGGGTGTTGGCAACTGTGGTGAGTCTCACGACGCTGGCTGCTTCAGGGCGAAGGTACACTTACATAACGTCTATTCGTTGACGGGAGCTGCAGCTGTCATGAGGTGTCGTAGTTGTCGAGAGCAGGATTTGCTCTGGTGGTCGTTAACGAAGCTGGCTGTGCCTGCACATGATCCGTGCATTCAAGCTCCGCAGTGCGCACAATTTTCTGCCGCGGCCCGTGGCGGTGGAATGCAGGCTTCAGGCCCGTCAACTTTATAGCGGCTGCTTCGACGTGGTCACACAGCGTGCAAACGCCCAGGCTCTCCAGCTCAGCTGCCAGCGGCCGCATGCTGGGCTTATGATGCTCGATCGTCTTGGTGCGAGGTTCGTTGTGTCGGCTCTGGCGGTCAGAGCCGATGAGGCCGACGAGTTCGGAGCTGCATTGCGGCCCCTTGGCGCAGGAGGCCTAGATCCTGCAGCCTTGCGGGTAATTTGCTTCCACTGTGGCCCCGTCTGGATTTTCAGGGTGCCGTGGGTTGGCCCTGAGGAGGCTCCGAAGGCTTCTACTTAGCGGGGAGGTGTCCCACCAGAGGGCCCCCCCTCGGGCTCGGATTCCATGAAGGTTTTTGGCGCTACCATGCTCATCTGATGGTGCGTAGTGCGATGCTCTGCTTGCTGGAGGCGCATGTTTAAGCGTTTCCGAACTTAGCCTCCGAGCACTGAGCCATGATGTGGTGCCTCTTTCAGTTTCGGACGGCTCCTTCATTGCAGTTTGTTTGAAGTGCCACTTCTACGCCATCTGGAGCAACGTTCGAGGCTTCCCTATGGAGTGTAAGCAGCCCGCCAGGAGTCGTGCCATCAACTCCATCGTCCGCCGCCGCGGCCGCCGCCGTGGGCGCCGATGCCGCGGTCGCTGCCGCCGCGTCTGCGTCTTCCCCCGTGCCTCTGCGTGCCTCCACGCTTCCGTACTCTTCCCGCGGCGGGCCGCTCAGTCCTGCTGGCCGGCGGTGCGGCGCTCTGCCGCCGAGCCGCGGGCGGGAGCCGCGCCGCCGTGGCCGCCGCCGTGCGGAGGGCTCGCGCCCGCCGCCGCCGCCGCCCCGGAACTCACGTGGCCGCCGCCGCGGCCGCCGCCGCCGCCGCCCCCGCGCGCACGTGGCCGCCGCCGTGGCCGCCAGCCGTGCCGCAGGCTCGTGTCCGCCGCCGTGGGCGCCCTGGTCTTCCACGTCACTGGCCTGCGGGGCGTCTGGGGCGTGGGGGCCGAGTCCGTGCAGCAGGCGTTGGGCCCGGCGGGGGGGGGGTCGACCCTCTTCGCGTCCCTGCCCTCCCCACGAGGCGCGGCACAAGACGACGCACGGCGACGCAATCAGTGATTACTTCGGTAGCAGATCATGGGAGCCTAGTCTACTAGCGCTGGTTAGCGTCTTGTAAGCGATGAGATAGCGCCGATTTCGCGTCGATTTCGCGTCGATTGGCGTCGATTTAGCGTCGATGAGCGTCGATTCGCAAGAGCCACCACGATGGTATGGGAGGCTCCCGGGAGTTGCCGCTGATGCCGGCGCCACGGCACCACCGCCTGGCCCCACGTAGGGCTGTCCCCCGGTACACTATAGGTGAGCTTCCGCTCACCGCGAGCGTAGGATCACGTCTGCCGTGCTCTCTCGCGCCTGATTGCGCAGATCTCCGACGACACGATTTTTGTTGTCTGCAGTCCAGGCGGTCTTACTCCATTTCGGCCTCCGGGGCCGGTCACCGTGCCGTGGGGCCATCAAGCATGGATCCGGGACGAAGTCACCACCCCTGGGAAACTGTCAGGGCCTCTGGGGCCGCGCATTGAACCAGAGTTATATCGTCGGATGTCTGGGCAGGAGGAACGGCATGGTCGGATCTTGCTCATCGCCGTCGCTGTCCTGCATGGCTGGGTGCGCGTCCCTCCCCGCCCTCCCCTCCACGAGCGGCGCTGCGAGAGCGCCCTCGTGTACCCTGGTCGTCAGGGGCCATCATTTTGGGCCCGAGGGCTGACATTAATTAGGGGGGGATCGGCTCGGGGGGATGTATTGACCACCAATCGCCCATTCATCGCGTCGGCCGTTCATCGCGCCAGACGTCTCTCAGGTGCGAGGTTCGAGGTTTTTGGACATTTTTGTACATTTCTGGACGTTTTCCAGCCTCGGGATGCCTTCCTTCAGCTGCGCCTCGCCGTGGGCGTTCCAGGGGTGCCTCGATCGTCCTGAACGGCCGCGGGAGACCCGAGATATGACCCGAAAGCTGAGACCAGCCAACATTAGGCGGGATAGGCTCAGGGGGGGGATGCATCGACCAGCAATCGCCATTCATCGCCGAACTGGGCCCGATAGCCTACCCCGCCCAGGGATGTGCGGATTCGCCATCGGGGGCCTACCGCCGATCGATCGGCGACGTATGATCGCCGATTCAGGCTCTATGTTTCCCCGCTGGTCCCCCCCCAACGTTTCCCCTAAGATCAGGACCCCCTAAATGGGCACTCTGGCAAACCAGGACGCTGGCGCGCCCGTGAAAGAGAGCAGCCGCGGGTCGGAGCGTGTTCCGTTCTTCGTTCTCCCCGGGCGGACTTCTCACAGTCCCAGCTGCACTTGCAGCAGGTGTGTCCAATAGGAGGCCAGCCTGCCAGGGCGGCCCCCCCCACGGATATGTCTGATCCCCCGGTGGCCCTGGGGCCCCGCAGAAGCCTTGAGGCACCCCAGGACCCTCAAGGATCGACAGATAGTGTGGCCTCATGTTTCCTATGGCAAGGTTCCCCAAGCAGTGCTTGCACGCAGGGGTTCTTGTTTGTGTTCTGAGGAACTGTGGGGGGGATTGCCAGTCTGGCGGTTCCGTGCTCGCCGTCGCTGCCTCGTCGCCGCCTCGTCGCCGCCCGTCGTCTGGGCGGGGCTGTCGGTCTGGCGGCTCCGTGCTCGCCGTCGCCGCCCCCGTCGTCGCCGTCGCCGCCCCGTCGCCGCCTCGCATAGATTCTCGTTTTAGACTCTACCCCTCTCCTCCCGGGGAGATCCGCCCCTTTTCATATTGCACTTTGCATATGATTCTGCCCCATCGTCCATCCCCTATATGAATTTACACCATCCCAGGAGGGCAGGTATAGGCACCCCCGGCCATCCTCTGCAAACCATACTATGCGCGGGCTCTCGTTCATCAAAAATCGTCAGTTTTCAAGAGTCCCTTGCAAACCATGGGACGAAGTGCGCGCCCGCGTCGTCGCTCGCACATGCCGAAATCCTTAAAAGCGTCGGTATCGTATGGATGGCAATACCGAGTGCCCAAAAACAGTATAACAACATGGTTTCGCAGCACGGATTTGCAACAACAACTTGTGCGCGCGCTCTTGCGAATTCTTTAGCAAACCATAGGTTTTTCAACATTTTCAGAACATGCTGCCAAGCGGGCTTCGCGTGCGCGCGCGTGTCGAAATCGTTCGAACGCCCTTGCGCGCGTGCCGTCGCGAGAATCCTTTGCAGCAGATGGGACGGAGTGCGCGCGCGCGTCGTCGCGCGCGCATGCCGAAATCCGTCAAAAACTTTGGGTTTCGTATCGGTTTTGCAGCCAAGTGCCCCAAACCACCAAAACATTTTTTCGCAACACCAGTTTTCAAAACAAGCGTGCGCTCGCGTTCTTGCGAAGTCTTGAGAAAACCGTAGGGTTTCCAACATTTTTATGGACTTCTGCCAAACGGGCCTCTCGCTCCGCATGCCGACATCATTCGCACGCCCTTGCACGCGTGCTGGGGGGGCACGATCCGTGTCAAATAATACCATGCGGGTCACTCTCGCGCGTCGGCCGCGCGCGCATGTCGAACTCTCTCCAAAAACTTTATCGCCGACGCGAGGACGCCGTCGTCGTCGTCGCCGTCGTCGGCGTCATCAGCATCGGCGCCCGCACTAGCCGCGCCTTCGTCGTTGTCAAAATCGTCGCCAGCATAGCTAGTACCATCATCGCGTCTACTGTTGTCGACGTTGCCATGATACCGCGCCCGCCCAAGTCGCCGACTCGCACTGAGGTGCCCGCTGGGATGTGCCCAGCGGTCAGCGCCACCTCGGCGGCGTCGGTCGCGCCAAAGTAGCTGGCCGCTGCGCGCGCGCATGCGCGGGCTGTCGCGGCCGCCAACATGCACCAACCAGCGCCAAACACTCATCGCAATCGCCGCCGCATGGGGTTTGCAAACCAAGTTGCGGGTGGGGCAACTTCAAGTTGAGCGTTGATGGATACCACCGTGTAAATTGCACCGCGTAAGTTGTACCACGTAGACTGCACCACGCAGATTGCACCGCAAATGTTGCACCACGTGGATTGCACCACGTCGATTGCGCAGCATAGATCGCACCACATGGATTGCACCACGTACGATGCACCGCATATATTGCACCACGTAGATTGTGCCACGTCGACTGCCCACGTCGATTGCACCACATAGTTTACGCCACATATATCGCACAGCGTAGATTGAACATTGCACCGCATCGATTGCACCACCTAGAGTCCGCACTACACATATTGCACAACATAGGTTGTACCTCGTATGCGGCACAGCATATATCGCACAACATTTATTCTCCTTTCGCAAAAAGAGATAGGTTCTACCACCCTCCCCCGCCCAGGTTAAAGATCTCCCTTTTCGGACAGCAATTTTCGTAGGATTCTGCCTCATCGTCCATCCTAAATATGAGTGTACAGCATCCCGGAGGGGGCTGGTATCGCCCCCCCCCCCCCCGCCGTCTTCTGCAACAGATAACTTGCGCGCGCATTTGTTTATCCCAAATCACACGTTTGCAATAATCCCTTGCAGCAAATGGGACGAAGTGCACACGCGCGCGTCGTCGCGCGCGCATGCCGGAATCCTTCAACAACTGTCGGTTTCGGAACGATTTCAAAATCGAGGGTCCAACAGAACATATAGAAATACAAGGGTTTCTCAACACGGGTTTTAAAAAAACAAGCGTGCGCGCGCGCTCCTGCGAATTCCAAAGAAAACCATAGGTTTTCCAATCTTATCACAACGTACTACTAAACGGGCTTCGCGCAAGCGCATGCGAGCCACTCTCGCGCGTCTGCCGCGCGCGCATTTCGAATTCTTTCCTAGACCTTCATCACCGACGCGAAGACGCCGTCATCGTCGTCGGCGTGTTCGGCATCGGTGCCGTCACTGGCCGTGCCGTCGTTGCTGTCAGCATCGTCACCAACATCGCTACTATCATCATCATCGACCGCGCCCGCCCAAGCCGCCGACTCGCATCCAAGTGCCCGTTGGGATGTCCCCAGCGGTCAGCGCCACCTCGGCGGCGTCGGTCGCGCCAAAGTAGCTGGCCGCTGCGCGCGCGCATGCGCGGGCTAGCGCGGCCGCGAAGATGCACCAGCCAGCGCCAAACACTCATCGCAATCGCCGCCGCATGAGGTTTGCAAACCAAGTTGCGGGTGGGTGGGTGGGATGTTTGCGCGAACAGTTGATGGGACACAGATGTTGCTTCACATCGATGGCTAGAAACACACAGTTTGGGGTCCACGCTGGCGAATGTATCTTATTTTGCGTGTCTATTGTAGCAGTGTCCGGTTTAAGGGGGCTCTGAGCTGTTCTCGCTCCCGTTGTCGCCTGGGGGCTGGCCGTCGTTTCGCTTCGCCTTCGACCTCTTCGCAGGTGGTCAGCTGAGAACGCCCAGCCGTTCTTGTGAGCGCGACTGTCGTGTCCAGGGGAACCGCCGCGACCACCATCCGTCCCTCCCCTTCCCCCCCTACTTCCCATCCCAGACCCCCTCGCGTCGTGAACAAAAACACGACTGACGTTTGCTAGTTATTTTCGGCCTCTGGGGGCCCGTCAGAAAACGACGCAGGGTGAAACGCCAGATCCTAGGAGCAGGTCGAGACATTCGGGGGTCGTCGATGTTGTCAAAAATTCATGATGTCGGGGCCGTGGATCGACGCATTCTCCATTCTTCGTTCTCCTCGGGTGGAATGTTCAAAGTCTTGGTTAGCAGTATCCTGGTATGGGGGTCCCTGAGCTGAGCTTCCTCCCAGCTGTCACCTGAGGGCTGGCACTCGTTTCGCTTCGTTTTTCCGTTCTTCGTAGGCGGGCCGCTGCAAGCGTCCACTACCGTTGTGAGCACGACTGTCGTGTCCAGGGCATCGTCCCGTCTACCATCCGTCCCTCCCCTCCTCTCCCTCTCCTTCCCTCCTTTCCTCCCTCCTTCTTCCTTGCTCCCGTGCTCTCTCCTGTTCTGGCCGTGAACTCAGCTCCGCTGGAGGCGATAATGCTTCGCTCGTGGTGAGAGGTCACTGGACAGTGCTGTTGCGGGAGTGAAGCAGAGAGATCCTGAGAGAGAGAGGGAGAGAGGGGGAGAGGGAGAGAGAGAGAGAGAGAGAGAGAACGAGAGAGAATGGCCTGGGGTCTTGTGCTGCATTCGGCATCCTCGGTCCCTCCTGGGCCCTGAAACCGTCAACCAAACGCTTCAGGGGTCTCCGCGCGGAGGGCCCAAGAGAGGTGCCCAGACCCTCGACGTCATCCTTTTTTAAACAAGGCGGATCACCAGAGGTCTCGGCCCGTTCCCAGGGACAGGCGTTTCATCCCGAGCCGATGTTTTCACGGTCCCGAGGCCCAGCACGTGCCCCAGAAGCCGAAAGCAGCGACAGCCTGTCCGCCTACAATTTTCTGCGTCGCAAGGGGTCTGTGCGAGGGGGGGGGGTGGGAAGGCCCATGGGCTCGCGAACAGAACACAACATCGCGAGCAATCACGACTGGAGCCCCCCTAGACACCATCTTTCTGCGGCATTCCTCGAGTCGGATCCGTCTGTGACGGTCGCAGGGCCCGAAGCCGGGCGAACACGTCCAGTGTGCAAAAGTTGCAGCGCCCGGCTCCGAGGGGTGCGCCGCGGGGAGGGCCCCTGGGCCTCCACCCCGCCGCCTGCCGCTCCTTGGACGGGCAACGACGGGTGGCATGCGCGGTCGCGGGCGCCTGGCGCGGAGCCCCCCTGTCCGGGGACCTTGGAGAGCTGCGCGACCCGTCGCGCAGTCAGCCCTGCGAAATCCGCCAGGCGACCGCCGCCCCCACCCCCCCGATGTCATGCTCTTGTGGCAGGCCTCGATTCCTAGAGGTCTCGACCCCTTCCCCAGGACCGGCTTCTCGTCCCGAGTCGTTTTTTGACGGTCCCCAGGCCCGGTAAGTGCCCCCGAAGGCAGGAAATAGCGGAAAGCCTCCCGTCTATCTTTTTTCACGACCGCGACCACGACCACGACGACGACGACGACGACGACGACGACGACGACGACGACGACGACGACGACGACGACGACGACGACGACGACGACGACCACGACCACGACCACGACCACGACCACGACCACGACCACGACCACGACCACGACCACGACCATGACGACGACGGCGACGACGACGACGACAATGACGACGACGACATCGATGACGACGACGGCGACGGCGACGCACGCTCGCCCGCCCCCCTGGCGCGGCTCAGGCGCTGGACCGGGGCGGGGACTTCCACGTCCTCGAGCGACCCGCCCCCCCGGCAGCCCGCCCGGCTGGCGGCCAGGCGCCAGGCGGCGGCGCGAGCGAGGGGCCCGAGTGCATCTGGACTGGAGGTGCTTTATGTTGTTCAAATTGGGTCGCTCCAGTGATCCCGCGATCTGGTGATATGTGGCTGATTTGGCTGATCTGGCTGATCCGGCTGATCCGTGTGATCTGGGTGATCCGCGTGATCCGCGAGATCGGGTTCATCTCGCTGATCCACTTGATCAGGCAGATTCTGGTGATTTGGTTGATCCGGTTGATCCGGCTGATCTGGTTGATCCGGTTGATCCAGATGGTCTGGCTGATTTGGGTGATACCGTTGACGGAGATATTGCAGCAAACGCCGAGGAGCCATTTCGCATAACCTTTTTTCTGCCCCCCAGCCTCAATATTGAACAAGCGGTTCCTTACAAGTGAGGCCGGACAAATCTTGAGCTCATCATTTCGGACGCAATGCCTGCCAATGTTAAAACTGGGGTGTGCAGGGGGGAGTTTGATTGTTTCCAGTTTTTGGGCTGTTGTTGAACAGTTTTCCTTCAGACGTTGGAAGGCCCGCGTCGTATTCTTCGGCGGTAATAATGACCCGTTGTTAATTTCCTCACACGATCGTGCATCGAACAATATTTCGGAATAACCGAAATTCGGGTGGAACTCATGGCGGCGATGATGCACTCACCATCGTTGTCATATTTGTTTGCCATGCAGGGGGTGTGGGGAACAATGTCCTTAATCAGATCACTTCTGGCTCTTAACAAGAAATCAGCTTGTCCTTCGTAAATGATCGTTGTGTTGTTTCTTCTAAGTTGCCAGTTCTTGATAAGAAAGTTGTGTTCTTGTACATGCAGCCTTTTTTGCTTCAGGCGGGCGGGTTGGCTGGCGGGTTGGCTGGCGGGTTCAGAATGTCGGGGAGGGGGCAGCATCGCCGTCCAGCGTGCGCGCTCGAAGTTCACGGATCTAGGGTTCCCTGAGGGAAACATGACTCTGCGTACGCCGTCGGTGTCTCGGTCAAACCGCATAGCTTACATTGCGTAGCTTACATCACAGACATTCCCATGCGAAAAGCTGGTGTTTTTTTGGGGGGGGTGGAAGAGCATGGATCCAATGGAGCGCACCGCGACGCCAACGCCGTGAAGTACCAGTGGCCAGGCGTCCAGGCGTGGGCCTCCCACGCGTGGGCCTCATGTGGCCTTCCTTCATTTACATTTTGATATATGGGCCTCACATCCTCGCAATTCGAAGGTGTTGTAATACATTGGGAATCCTTTTCCGTATGCAAACTGCCAGGCCTTGCTTTGTAAACTGCCCGCTTGAGGCCCACGAAGAAGGGGGCCGGTGTAAACCCAGGACTCATCAATGATGCTGTAGTACATCTTCCCTCTAAGTTCCCTCTTCGTAGGACCCTGTAAATATTCACTTTCACTTGCAGAAGTGCCCCGTTGGAAAACAACTGCTTGAAAATGCTTGGACTTCAACGCCGCGAATCACCGTTACACTTGCGTCTTGACGACCCTGGATCGTGCCAGAACGCCATTTCTGAGACCTCACATGAATAAACGTAACCTTTACGCCCTGACAGTCCGACATCGTGCCAAAACACCATTTTCGGGACGTGAGCCATGAAAATCATTGAAACTGTGGTGAATTCTGAAAACGAATATGCGCGGCGCTACGGCGAGAGCCTCATTTTGAAAACGACCCGCCCTCCATCCATGAAGCGCTTCCGATTTTTAAGACGAATGTGCGCTGCGCTACGGCGAGAACCGCATTCTCTGAGAGAAGAGCTGTTCAGACTCTGGGCCGCACCCAGACTCTGGGGGTTCCTCCTTCGTCCTCCTCCTCCTCCTCCTCTTCCTCCTCTGGACCTCTGGATTGTGGCAGTTCTTGTGCATAGCACTGATGCCATCGTCCTCTTCCTCCTCCTCGTCCTCCTCCTCGAGGGCTGCGCGAGCGGCGCCAACCTGGTGCTACTACGCGCTAGCATCAGCATCTATGCAGGCCCACGGCGGTGCAAGGTCGACGACGCGGTCTCGTGCGTGGTCGAGCTGGCCTGCAGCATCTTGGCGGGCTGCGGCTTCGCGACATCATGGCTGAAGGTCCTCATGTTCCGCAGCCTGCGGCTCTTTGGCGACAGGTACCAGTGCATCCAGCTGTTCGCCTTCGTCGATGACATCACCATCCTCTGCATCGGGTCGCAGCGCTTCCTGCTCAAGGTAGCAGCGGACGGCTTGCGGTACCTTATCGAGCTCCTCCGCAAGCTGGGCTTTGAGGTCAACGGCTCGAAGTCCACCATCGTGATCACCTCGGCGTACGCTGGCAAGTGGATCGCGGACAGGGTGTACACGCACACGGCGCAGCGGCTCCAGGTCAAACAGCACCACCGCAACCTGGGCGTGGACTCGATGGTGGGGGCGAAGCGGCGCACCAAGGTCATGGACGCGAACTTCGACAAGCAGCGGCGCCGCCTTGGACGGGTCACGTGCCTCAAGCGCCAGGGCGCCAAGTCGGGCAAGGTGGGCAAGATGGGCATGCAGCCCGCCATGACGTATGGTGCCAGCGTGCTCGGCCGCAGCGACTCGCAGTTTCACAAGATCAGGGCGGCGGTCGGCGCAGCGATGTTCACCGACACGGCGAGGCGCTCGCTCACGCTGTCCTTCATGCTGGAGCGGGGCAAGCAGGACCCAGCATACGCCGTCAACGCGGCGCCGCTGGTGGAGTGGGCGAAGGCGGTCTGGACCAAGCGCATCCCCACCCACATTCTTCAGGGAGCCCTGGACCGAGCCGAGGCGACTCAGAGGAACAAGCTGCACCCATGGGCCGCCGTGGTCGGGCCAGCGGGTGCGATGCTTGCCACGGCCAGGAGGATAGGCTGGCAGGTTGTCTCCGCCAGCAGGTGGATCTCCCATGACGGCGAGGAGCTGGAGCTGAGCGAAGGCGTGGGGCCACGGTCGATCAAGGGATTGCTAGATCGAGCCATCGTGAAGTGGCAGTACGCTCAGATAAGTGTGCATGAGGGGCTGGAGCACCTCAAGGACGGCATCCACCTGGAGCCAGTGCGCGAGGTCATCCGCAACGTCAGGAAGCACGGCCTGAAGCAGGAGGCGCGCGGCTTGCGCTCCACCGTCATTGGGGCGCAGTGGCCCCAGCAGCAGCTGCACGCCGAGGGCCTTGCCGACTCCCCACTGTGCCAGCGCTGTGGCGAGGCCCCTGGCACGCTCCCTCACCGCCACGGTGCATGTGTGGCGTGGGCGCGTGAGCGCAGGGAGAGCGATATCGGCCAGGTCCACTTCCCCGAGGGCGCGCTCACCGCGCTGCAGGAGGCGTTTTGGGGCAGGTGCCCGCTGCCCAACTGGACCGCGGGGCCGAGGCCGTCGCGAGCGCGGCACACGGTATGGAGCATAGAGGTCCCAGGAGGTTTCTTCATGGACGACGGCTTCGTGGACGGATCGGGACGCTGCCTCGCAGGCCCCGACGACATGCGGGTGGGCTTCGGCTGCGCGTCAGTGGACCACCTCGGGCGGGTCACGGGAGCGTGCCACGGGCCGTCTCCTGGCTGGCTGCAGGAGGTGGGTGAGGGCGAGCTCTTCGCGGTGGAGGTCATGCTGCAGCACGCCGTTCCCCCGTTCACCGTCTACAGCGACTACCAGGACCTGCTCGACGGCATCGCCGCAGGGCCAGCTGTTTGCTGCGCACCTGGCAAGGCCTACGCCGAGCAGTGGAGGAGGATCTGGCGGCCCATCCAGGACATCGGGCAGGACCAGCTCCAGTTCCGCAAGGTCAAGGCCCATCAGGCCATCACCCAGCTCGCCTACGGCTCGGTGGAGCGCCGCCTCGCGCTGGGCAACAAAGCCGCCGACGCCGAGGCCAAGATGGGAGCGGCCTGCCACCCGTGCAGCTCTCAGGTCGAGGCGGAGCGCTTCGCCTCCCAACAGGAGGCAGTGGGACGCATGGCGGGCTGGGTGGCCCAGGTGTGCGCGTTAGCCAACGGCGGCCAGAGGGGCGCCACGGGCAAGCAGCTGCTGACGAGGGCCCCGCGGCACGAGGAGCAGCACGGCATGGCGCGTGCTAAGCGCCGCCGTGCGCAGCCACGCGGGCAGCCGAGGCCCGAGCCCTACAGAGGAGTCGACGCGATCCCGATCACGGCGCACGACGACCGCGATGGCGACACCGGCGGAGGCAAGTCGCCCCAGCGCGGGCCTGCGGTGCTGGCGGCGGCGGCGCTCGCGGCTGCAGCCCGGAGTGCTGGCCTGGCGGGAGGCTCCGACGACGAGCCCGACGGCGAGGACCTGGCCCAGCGTGGTGGCGGACGCGGCAGGGACGAAACCGACCCTGCGCCGCCCCGCTGGGCCCAGCAGCTGGCAACGAGCCAGGCAAGCGGCGGCGACCCCGACGGCCTGGCGGACGGTGGCAGGTCACTGACACCAGAGGGCGGCTGGGCAGCGCTGGACGCCCAGCTGAGCGGCCAGGGCAGCAGCAGCCAGGCCGTCCACGGTGGCGAGGACAGCGACGACGCGCCGCTGGTGCAGCCGCGCAGGAGGCAGGCGGCCCCCCGCAGGCAGCAGCTCTTCACGGCGAAGGGCGTGCTGGCTCGAGGCGGCGACAAGCGGCCCCGCGAGGCCGAGGCGCGGCAGGCAGCGCAGGAGGCGGGCAGCAGCCAGGCGGATGGCAGGACCGCCAGCCAGGACGGCGTCGGTCGCCGCGTGGCGGCGAGGCTGCAGCGCGAGCGCGGGCCACAGCTCTTCATGCCCGACGACGTGGGCAGCGCGGAGGGACAGCCGCTGCGGCACCGCGCACAGTGGGTCGGCGGCGCCAGCGCGTTGCCGTTCGCATGCGACCGCTGCGGGGTGCGCTGCAGGGGCCGCGCCCAGCTGGAGGCGGGGCTGTGCCGCGGGGCGCCTGCCGCCGTGCTGGCGGCCGACGCGACGCACCGCCTGATGACCATGGGCGACGTGGTGTTCTGCTGCTCTTGCGGGGCAAGGGCTGGT